AATGCTAAGATTAAACGAAGAATGATGTAATAGATCTGTATGGACTGATACAGAATGATATCCCCAACACACTGGGTTAAGTAAGCAGGCTGTAAAGTACATCTAGTAAGATTTTATTTTGTAATTTAAAAAACAAAACCCAAGAAACTGTGGGTCTGTGTATATGGTTACGTAAGCCCTGAAAAAAGCTGTGAAAGGTTATACAGAAGCTGCTAAGCAAGGCTCATCTCTAGTGAATGGAATTGGGGGTAAGAAGGGAGAAGGACAAGACTTCACTTCAAACTCTTCTGTAATCTTTGATGAAAAAAAATAAAGCGTATAAAGTTTACAACAAAAATAATAAATCCCAGTTCCTATACTTGACCTTAATTACTAGAAAGGTGTTACTGACTAAATACATCAGGATGCTTTCATGTTTTAACATTCCACTTATAAAGGTATACTTTCAGGAAGAATAACTTGTCTACTAGTTATTAGACAAGTTATTCTTCCTGAGAGTACACCTCTTCCCACTTGCAGAACCCACAGTTCCGCTACCCCCCACCCTTTATGTGGATTCTGAACAAATGAATAGTTTTGTCATTACAAAATATTTGAACTTTTTTTTTCTTTTTTTGAGACAGAGTCTTGCTCTGTTGCCAATGCGGGAGTGCAGTGGCGTGATCTTGGCTCACTGCAACCACTGTCTCTGGGGTTCAAGCGATTCTCCTGCCTCAGCCTCCTGGGTAACTGGGACTACAGGCATGCACCACCATGCCCAGCTAATTTTTGTATTTTTCGTAGAGACAGGGTTTCACCATGTTGGCTAGGCTAGTCTTGAACTCCTGACCTCATTATCCACCCCCTTGGCCTCCCAAAGTGCTGGGATTACGGGTGTGAGCCACCGCGCCTGGCCTTTTTTTTTTCTTTTTAAAAATGGAGCCTTGCTCTTTGTCTCACTTTCTCCCCACAGGAGTGCAGTGGCATGATCCTGGCTCACCGCAACCAACACCTACCAGGTTCAAGGGATTCTCATGCCTCAGCCTCCCGAGTAGTTAGGACTACAGGTACATGCCACCATACCAGGTTAATTTTTTTTTTTTTTTTTTTTTTTTTAATAGACATGGGGTTTTGTCATGTTGCCCAGGCTGTTCCTGAACTTCTGGCTTTAAGTGATCTGTCCACCTCAGCCTCCCAAAGTGCTGGTATTACAGGCATGAGCCACCACGCCCAGCCTTAAGTAGAATTAATTTTCATTACTATTTGAGACAAAAGTCCCAAATAACATTTATTTTGCTTCTGTAAATGTTCTAATGTTTTTGTTTTAATCTATACTATCCTATCATATAAACTTCAGCAAATATGGGAAAAATGCCAAAATTATTGTAGATAATCTGTATATATATTTATTGAATCTAAAGCAAAACATCTTCCTTACCTGTGGTCTTTATACAATATACTGGACCATAGATACCAACTTTCCATGCCATAGGTAGTGCTGCTTTAACTTTTAAACAATAGGTAGTCTCTGGTAAAAGTTTATAAATTTTATGTATGGAATAAATATTTTCAATCTCTTCCTATAATAAAAATAGAAGTTGGTTCTTTAAAAAAGTATAAGGTCAAATTTTAAGATTAATTCACCTCATTTTTCTCTCACATCGATTAAACAAAGGTAAAAATAATGCTTACTTCTCCACTTGAAGAGTTTTTCCAGATAACTAAGCTGTATCTAAAGCCTGAACCATCCAAAGCCCACATGACACTATTTTTTGTTCCAGGAGGAGAGATGTTTATCATTATTGCCTTATCTTCAGCTTCCAAATGTACTTCTGGAGGACCAATTTGAGCTGCAAAAAAAAATCGAAAGAATTACTATGGATCTTTGTCAGTAACTAGCCCTACATCACCCATGGGTACCCAGAGTTCAGTGGTGACAAAGGAATGAGAAAAAGACAGATTAAGAGAGAAAGTGGGACCAGGGGGCCATCACTTATTACTGGAGTAGACAGTGAAGGCCCTGAGCTCTGATCATCCACACTATTTATTGATTACAACCACTTTGATCTATAGGATGGAGTGGAGTGATGGTGGAGTGAATCAGTGAACCGGAACTGGTGTGTCATCCTAAGGATAACATGGCGGGTTGGAAGTTTCACAAAACAAGAACATGTGGTTATCTTTAGCCTGTTATCTATGTGCAGCTGATGGAACACGGAGCTTACAAGGAGCCTACAAGTCTGGTTACCTCATAGTGCTACGAAGGGGTTTTACATCCTTGAGCACAATGTTTAATGGTAACAGAGCTGAGGTCACCCTGTACCGGAACATGAGGCATGGAGAGGCCTTCCTCCTCAGAGGCCTCCTGCGGCCTTCTGCAGTTTGTTCTTCCTTGTTTACTATTACTCATAAACAATTTATGTAGGCACTCTGTAAGTCTTTCTCCTTTGCTGCTTTTCCCCAACAGATCTTTATTATACAATGCCAAAACCTTCATTCGACAAATAATTCTGAGCACTTAATATGTGCTTGACACTTCTAGGAATCAAGAGCATACAGATGGTATAGAAAGCTGTAAGATCACCAGTGGAGTGACACAGAAGGCGAAGAGATTCAACGACTGAGCCCAGCAGTCCAACACTGAAAAGTCGGAAAGATGAAGCAATCAATGAACAGGAGGAGAACCAGGAAGAACAACGCTCCAGAGATCCAGTAAAGGAAAAACTAGTGATGACCACATCTATACTACAGAGGGATGATGCCAGAAAAGCACTGGGAATTTGCTTGGCATTGTGGAGGCTGCTGTGACCTGGAGAAGAGTAGTTTTAATAGTGATGAGGAATACAATTTGACTGGAGAGGGTGGAGAGGGAATGGGAAGAAAAGTACTATAGAAAGGGAGTACACATCATTCCTGATAAAGGGCATTTGTTCTCGAACTTTTTGGTCTCAGAAACCTCCCTTTTTTTTTTTTTTTTTTGAGATATGATCCAGCTGTGTTGCTCAGGCTGTAGTGCAGTGGCACAGACATGGCTCACTGCAACCTTGATCTCCCTGGCTCAAGTCATCCTCCCTCTTCAGCTTCCTGAATAGCTGGGACTGTAGGCGTGCACCACCATGCCTGGCTAATTTTTACATATTTTTTGTAGAGATGGGGGAGGTCTCACTATGTTGCCTAGGGTGGTCTTGAACAATTGGCCTCAAGTGATCCTCCCACCTCGGCCTCCCAAAGTGTTGATATTATAGCTGTGAGCCACCACACTCAGCTCCTTTACATTCTTAAAGAAATGATTGAGACTCCCAAACAGCCTTTATTTATGTGGGCTATATCTTTTTATATTAGCATATTAAAACTGATAAAGTTTTCATTCCATTTTAATTAATTAATCCATTAAGAAATAACAATGACAAATCCTATTTATTATATGGTAACAAACACTGGCTACGAGGAACATAAAAACTTAAGTGTAGTGCTGTTTTACATTTTTTTCCAAATCTTTAGAATGTTTGGATTAACAAAGAATGCAGACAAATTTTACATCGAATTCTATGTTAGTGACCATATCACCACATCACACATCAAGCAGGCTTCTCTGGAAAACTCCACTGTGAACACAGGGAAGAACAAAAATAAAAAAGGCAAGCAAATCTTTGATTTGTTATAAATATAGCTTTGTCTTTGTGGTTCCCCTGAAAGCCTTGGGGAACACTCTTTGAGAACCACTACTATAGGGAAAGTAGAAAAAAAACAGAGCCATAGCAGGAAGAAGATGAGGATTTAAGGAAATTTTTGTTCTTTTTAAAAGATGTTCGATTTTACATCATGCAAATGAATGGCTTGGAAAGTGAACTGCTCTAGTAATAATTGCTTAAGAACATAATTCAGCTAGCAACTTTTTCTTACCTTTGTTATATGGTGTAAATGGGTCAACCTCATACCACGAAGAAGTGTTTTCTTTTTCTGCTCTTATACGCAATTTAATTTCTTCATAAACATTCAACTTGACTGAAGAAAAGTTGCATTTGGTACTAGTAATATTCTGACACCCAGGCAATTGTATCCAATTATCCGTCCCAGATCTTTAAAGTAAAAAACAAATGAATAAGTGAGCCAATATATAAATATGCATCAAATACTTTCTATTTACTGATATTATAAAGCTATTATGATTTAAGAGTTATTTCTTCTGCTTGAGCTAATGTCCTATTAACATTTTAGTGTATACCTTTCCACTCTTTTTCAATGCATATAAGCCAAGTTATTATTTATAAAACTGAATTTTAAAATACAGTTCTTTATATAATCTTGTGGATGGCTGCTTTAGGATTTCAAGGAAGCAGAGAAATAAATGACCCATAAGGTAAAAGGGGATTTAGTATGCTGGCTCTGTTAAAAATAGTTGTGTGACTTTTGGTAAACTATTTTGTGTTTCTGGATCTCACCTTCCTTATTTAAAGTTTGGAGCCTGGGCACATAACATAGCAAGTCCTGTCTGTATGAGGGGGGAAAAAAAAAAAAGCAAAGCAGGGCGTGCTACATGTGTCCGTAGTCCTAGCTACTGGTTAGGCTGAGGTGAGAGGGTCATTTGAGTACAAGGGTTCAAGGCTGCGGGCTGCAGTATGCTATGATTATATCACTGCACTCCAGCCTCAGCAAACAAGCAAGACCCTATCTCTAATAAAATATAACAAAATTAAATTAAAATTGGGGAATTGGATTTGATGATTCCTTTCTGACCTCCTCCTATGAACAGACTTACCTCCCTAAGAAAGACCTTGGGAGTCAGGCATGGTGGGTCACGCCCATAATCCCAGCACTTTGGGAGGCTGAGACAGGTGGATCACATGAGGTCAGGCGTTTGAGACCAGGCTGGCCAACATGGTGAAATCCCGTCTCTACTAAAATACAAAAATTAGCTGGGCACAGTGGCGGGCACCTATAATCTCAGCTATTTGGGAGGCTGAGGCGGGAAAATTGCTTGAACCTTGGAGGAGGAGGTTGCAGTGAGCCGAGATCACGCTATTGTACTCCAACCTGGGCAACAAGAGTGAGACTGTCTTAAAAAAAAAAAAAAAAAAAAAAAAA